CTCACGATTTTTAAAAAGCCTCTAAAACTGACCGAAAGGAAGACAGCAATTACAGCCAGAAAAACTATTATAAGTTCCTGAATCCCATATTAGATGGTAGATTTCTTGAAAAAGTGACTGGTAGATACTTAATTTAAAGCTATATTTTCTTTAATCAAGCTTCGTTATATAAAATAACCAAAAATATTTGCTTTGAAAACCGGAAATGTTCTCTTAACTCTCCGCGAGTACGAATGTTAGTATTTAGTTTAGGCATAATGATCTAACAAGATAGCTAAAGTTTTCGATGTAGTTTTTCCTTGGGATGAAAACAGTATTCTTGTTTTGCGAAGTTACTCACCTTGTGACTCAGTTTGCAGCACCAACACTGAAAATCCCGCGAGGAATACAGACGCCCAGTTGAAAAGCTCCATGCCAGAAAAAACTGAGTTTTCCCTTTAGCAATTCACCTCTGAGGATTGTAAACACTGCGCTGGAAGAGCAAACAATGAATGTGATCTTACTCTCAAGTTCAATAAAAGCTATACGTTGATGTTCGTGGCACGTGCTACTATAAGAAAACTTCCCGTCTAGCTTCAGCTTCACGTACTTCTGTAAGAAAACATCCCGTCTAGCTTCAGGGAGTAAGGACATCAGTTTGGGGAACAAACAAGCAGAACAGGAACAACAACGTGTCAACTCACAGCCGTGGGAACTTCAACATTTCTAGTTCAGCGGCAGTGGAGATTTTAGGTCAAAATATGAAAGGCAAACAACAAGACGATCGAGAGGCTTGTCGATTTACTGTCATCTCTGAAATAAAACAGGAAATTATTAAACAATGAAATCTTTATTCTCTAATGTAAAACGGAAAGCTTTACAGTTTATGAAGCAGACATACGCATTACGAAGGTGGACCATTTAGTCCTAAACAGTGCTGACGAAAGCAAAACATGAAAATTTAACATTTCCGGCATTTGTGTTTGCAATTGAAAGGTCAATATTATAACAACAAGAACAACAACAATCTTTATTTGTAATCCCTCTCTTACGTCNTACGAATGTTAGTATTTAGTTTAGGCATAATGATCTAACAAGATAGCTAAAGTTTTCGATGTATTTTTCCCTTGGGATGAAAACAGTATTCTTGATTTGCGAAGTTACTCACCTTGTGACTCAGTTTCCAGCACCAATACTGAAAATCCCGCGAGGAATACTGACGCCCAGTGGAAAAGCTCCATGCCAGAAAAAACTAAGTTTTCCCTTTAGCAATTCACCTCTGAGGATCGTAAACACTGCGCTAGAAGGAGCAAACAATGTATATGATCTTACTCTCAAATTCAGTAAAAGCTATACGTTGATGTTCGTGGCACGTGCTACTATAAGAAAACTTCCCGTCTAGCTTCAACTTCACGTACTTCTGTAAAAAAAACATCCCGTCTAGCTTCAGGGAGTAAGGACATCAGTTTGGGGAACAAACAAGCAGAACAGGAACAACAAAGTGTCAACTCACAGCCGTGAGAACTTCAACATTTCTAGTTCAGCGGCAGTGGAGATTTTAGGTCAAAATATGAAAGGCACACAACAAGACGATCGAGAGGCTAATCGATTTCCTGTCATCTCTGAAATAGAACAGAAAATTATTAAACAACGAAATCTTTATGCATCAGTCAATTCCAGCAGTGCCCATCCCCC